GGGCTTCTGGGGAAAATGGCCGATCCCTCCTGGGGCAGGAGAAGCCCAAGATGAGCCAGTAACATCCTATTGAGTGGAAAAGCAGGGAAGTGCTCAAAGGACATCAGAGACACAGCCCAGGGCAGAGGAGCTGGCTGAAGGGCTGCCTCAGGCCAACTCTGGGACAACTGGGGCATGTAAGTCATGAGAATAAAACATTATGATCCACTGAATACAACAGGAGCCATGAGCCCATGCTGACAGAGATTAACGAAATCACTGGAAGTTTGATAAGGACCAGGATATTCACTTTCAAAGAGCCTCCCCTAAAACCACTCACTCATTCCAGAACCAAAACAGGCAGCGGTATGGCAGAAAAGCCGCCTAATCAGACTGTCAATGCAAGCCTCATTTGTGATGGGACAAGTAAAAAATGTACACCACTGGATAGGGTTCAATAAGAAAAAGGCATTGCTTCCAGGACAAGGACACTCATCTTGATTCTCATTTTGAGGGTGGTCGGCAGAATCACGGCCCCCTATAGATGTGTACCCCAGAGCCTGTGAATATGTGACCTTACATGGCAAAAGGGACTTTGCAGATGTGATTAAGGTTACAGACCTTGAGATGGGAGATTATCCTGGATTATCCGGATGGGCCCAATCTAATCACATGGATCCTTAAAATTGGAAAACTTTCCTTGGCTGGGTCAGAGATATGACATGAGAGGGACTTGACCCTCTCCACCACTGCTGGCCTTGAAGAGAGAAGAAGAGGCCACTAGCCAGGAAAGAGGACAGCCTTTGGAAGCTGGGAACGGCCCTCAGTTTACAGCCTGTAAGAAAACAGGAACCTTGGTCCCATAACCCTAAGGAACTGAACTCTGCCAACAACCAAATGAGCTGGAAATAGATTCTCCCCTGGGACTTCCAGAAAGAAAAGCAGCCTGCTAACACCTCGATGCTAGTCCAGGGAGATCCGTACAGACTTCTTTCTTTTTTTGAGTCAGAGTTTCCCTCTGTTGTCCAGGTTGGAGTGCCTGGACACACTCATGACCACTGAAGCCTCGACCTGCTGGGCTCAGGTGATCCTTCTGCCTTGGCTTCCTAAGCAGCTGAGACTCTACAGGCATGTGCTACCATAACAGACTAATTTTTTTTTTTTAATTGTAGAGATAAGGTCTCGTCAAGTAGCCCATGCTGGTTTCAAACCCCTGGGCTCAGACAGTCCTTTTGCCTCTGCCTCCCAAAGTGTTGGAATTACAGGTGTGAGCCACTGCTCCCAGTCCGTACTGGACTTCTGACCTCCAGAACTGAGAGGTAATTAAACAACAGCAGTGAAAGACTAATGCAATAAAGAGACATCAGACAAACACAAACTGTGGGACCCAGTATGAGTTACCAGTTAGCAAGAACATAGAACTCCTCGAAATTTATAAGAACATTGACAAACAGCTAAATAGGAAAATGGGCAAGAGTGAAAAAGCATTTCACAGATGAAATATAAACAGACAATACAAATATGAATAGATAATTAACCTCATTTGTAAGTAAGGAGAACAAATTAAAGTCACAACGAGGTTCCATTTTATTCACCAGATTGGTCAAATTGATACCAAATGTTGGGGACAACTTAGAACAGAGGTCGGAAAGCTACAACCCTGAGGCCAAATTGGGCCAGCTGCTGTTTCTGTAAATAAAGTTTTATTGGAACATAGACATGCCCAGTTGTTTACGTATCGTCTATGGCAGCTTCCGATCTGTAATGGCAGAATTGAAGTTGTGAAAGAGTCCATTTGGCCAGCAAAGCAGAAAATATTTACTATCTGACTCCTTATAGAAAACGTTTGCCAACCTCTGATGTTAACCAGGAAGAACTCTTATAGCTGCTTTGAAGAGCAATTTGGCAATATCTGTGAAGTCACAGGTATGCGTACGCTTGACGGTGCAACTCCACTTTTAGGTATTTACCTAGAGAAACGCTAACAAATACATATTAAGGAGACAAATATGTTCACTGCATCACTGTTTATAATGGCAAACAACTAGAAACAACTCAGGTGCCCTCAGCAGGAGAATGGATATATATTCTGGGCTATTTAAATATTAGAATTCCACAGAACCGCCAGAACAAAGGACTCAGATCATGTGCGATATGATGGTGAATCTTGAATGAAAAAGAAAGGTTGTAGAAGAATATACATAGTATAATTCCATTATTACAATCGTCAAAAATGCAGAACTGCTGTGCCCCAATACACTATTGAACTGGTTAGGCTATAGCTTTGGCTGCATGAGACAGATTTCAAAATAATGGCATTCTTTTTTTTTTTGGAGTCTCACTCTGTTGCCCAGGCTGGAGTGCAGTGGCACACTCACGGCCACCCCAGCTTCGACCTGCTGGGCTCCGGCAATCCTTCCGCCTCAGCCTTCCAAGTAGCCGGAACTACAGGTACACGCTACCGTGACTGGCTAGTTTTTGATTTATTGTAGAGTTGAGGTCTCGCCAAGTTGCCTGGGCTGGTCTTGAACCCGTGTGCTCAGGCAATTCACTCGCCCCAGTCTCCCAAAATGCTGGGATTACAGGCTAAGCCACTGAGCTCAGCCAATAATGGCATTCTAAATTAGACAGTTTGTCTCTCCTTCACGGAGCAATTGGGAGGAGGTTGTCAGAGACAGGCATGATGGCTCTGCTCCATCGTGTTTTCCAGGCATCCAGGATCCTTCTAGCTGGTGTTCCATTCCTGCCATGTCGCCCTTGTCTGCACAGTCTGAGATGGCTTCCTACCATCATGTCAATGTTTCAAGAAGTAGGATGAAGGAAGCAGAACATCCCCTTCCAATACTTGACCTAGAAGTTTTTTTGTTTCTTTTCTTTTTTTGACAGAGTCTTCTTCTGTCACCCTGGCTGGAGTTTAGTGGTGTGATCATAGCTCACTGCAGTCTCCAACTTTTGGGCTCAAGTGATTCTCCCACCTCAGCCTCCTGAGAAGCTAGGACTACAGGCACATGCCACCACGCCCAGCTAATTAAAAAAACATTTTTTAGTGACAGGACCTGGTTTATGTTGTCCAGGCTGGTCTTGAATTCCTGGGCTCAAGTGATCCTCCTGCCTCAACCTCCTGAAGTGCTGGGATTACAGGTGTGAGCCACTGCACCCGGCCTTGACCGAGAAGCTTCTCCTGTCATTTCTGCTCACTTCTCCTTGGCCAGAATGTAGTCACATGGCCAGCCCTACCTGCAGGGGAGACTGGCAAGTGTATTCTTTATTCCACACAGCCATATGTGCAGGCCAAATCTCTAATTTGGAAGATAGAATAAATGAATATTAAGAGACAAATAGTAATCATCCTTATAATTGTTTAAGGATATATCGATATGTGGTAAAACTTTAAAGAGAAGTAATGAATTGATAGTATCTGGATTGTGATGATCCTAGGATTGCAAGGAAGAAGGGAGGAAAGTGGAATTGGGGAGGAACCCGACAAGACTGTCTAAGTCTCTGGTAATATTTTGTTCTTAAAGCTGACTAGGCTGGGCTCGGTGGCTCAGTCTGTAATCCCAGCACTTCGGGAGGCCGAGGCGAGTGGATTGCCTGAGCTCGTGGGTTCGAGACCAGCCTGGGCAACTTGGTGAGACCTCATCTCTACAATAAATTAAAAAATTAGCTGGGTGTGGTAGCATGCGCCTATAATTCTGGCTACTTGGAAGGCTGAGGTGGAAGGATCGCCAGAGCACAGCAGGTCGATGCTGGGGTGGTTGTGGGCATGTGTGTCACTGTACTCCAGTCTGGGCAACAGAATGAGATTCCAACTCAAAAAAAAAAAAAAGCTGACTAGTGGGTCCATGGGTATTTATTGTTATTCATTAAAACGTACATTTAAGTTTCATATCCTAACTTAAGTGCATGTCTCATAAAAATTACGTAATTAATAAAAAGCAGGTTATAGAATGTATCTATAATATAATTTCATTTATATAAAGTAAATAAACACAGGCATTTATTATTTTGGCTTAGCATTTAATAGTCTTTACCCTGGCATTTCCTCTTATTCTTCTCCTGTCTCAGGGTGGGATAGAGCCTTATCTAGTGCTGGAGGCTGAGGAATCGGTCTCTGCTCTAAGACATAAGATCCTACAGGTGCCTGCAAATATGACCTCCTTTCCTCCAATATGCTCTTCCAGTAGCCTTTAACTTTTCCTATGCACAATTCCAGCCAGCTTGGAATTACTTGCTTCTTCTCTAGAAGGCCCTTCCCAGACCTCCGTCTATACCTTCACTGAGCAGACTCAGTATTTGCCAGATGTCAGGAATTCACAGACATATGAGCGCCCTTTCTGTTCTCTTTCCTCCCCAACCTCCATTTCTACCTGAAAAACTCTCATTTGTCCTTCAAGTCTCAGTCTAGAAGTCACCTCCTTGAAGCCCTCCTAGATTTCTCGGGTCATATAAGTCTCTACCTTTCCCGTCCGATCACAGCATTTCCTTTGCTCCTTCCTATGAGATTAGGTTCTCTACTCCCACTGCTCGGGGTGCAGTTCGAAGCCCACTGGCCCGGGAAGCAGATCCCCGCGCCCCCTCTTACGAGCGGTGTGACCTTAGCTGAGTGGCCGAAACTCTCTGTGATTCAGCATTTCAATTCGTCCAGCGTAGGTGCCAATTCCTTCAGCTCAGACAGTTAAGGCCCCCGAAATCGGACCTGGGGGGTAACTGCTGAAAATGAACCCTCGAACCCCCTCCTCTCCGGCAGGCGCAGCGCTCCCCTTTCTCTCCAGCCTTCTCTTGCCTCCCTGACGGAGGTGCCACGGGGCGAGTCTCTCCTTCCGCAGCCCCTGCGAAAACGGACTGAGCGGGGGAGCCAGGGCCGCGCTGGGGACAGGGGCTGGGCCGCCGGGGCCCGATCCCGCCCCAGATCCCGCCCCTTGCGCCCCGCCCTCCAGGGCCCGCCTATCATTGCTTCGCATCCCACCAAGCCCCGTCTCCCGCTGGCTTGCGCCCGCGGAGCCCCACCCCCTTAGTTCGTCACTTCCGTGAAGGGGAGCCCGCGGGAGGCGGAAGTGTGTGTGCCGGGGAGGCGGCGGAGCGGAGCTGAGCGGTCCCTAGCTGGCATCTTGCGGCTCTTCCGGGTCTGGACTCGGAGACTCTCTGGCGGCCCGCGAAACCCAGCGAGGGACTGGAGGCCCTGAGGCGGCCGCGGGGCTTGGCGGGGTCTGGAGGTTGACCTCGCCCCCGCCGCCTGCCCTCGAGGCCGCCTCCTCCAAGCAGTCTCCTGGCCCCTCGCCCGCGCCTGCTCAGGCTCCCGTGCCCCTGCCCATCTCTGCCTTATCTGCGTCCCTGTCCTCGGGGCCCGTGACCGTGGCCTCGGAGTGGGCTTTTAGGGCCGGCCGCAGCCCGGCGACCCCGAGGCGTCCCGCCCTGGGCCCCCAGACCCCTCAGTATGACCGCGGCCGCCGCCTCCAACTGGGGGCTGATCACGAACATAGTGAACAGCATAGTAGGGGTCAGTGTCCTCACCATGCCCTTCTGCTTCAAACAGGTGAGTCCGGTGCGACTGATGGTCGCCGCTCCCGCCTTCCCCGGCGGAGGGAACATCTTGCCGGGTCCACCCTGTTGAAAGTTCTCTGCTCGGGAAGGGTGTAGCTGGGGCTGGGTGGAGGCGGCTCCACGGGGCCGTGGCCCAGCAGGCCACGTCCTCGGGCGGTGTGTCACTCGGGGATCTGCAGAGCGATCCCGAAAAGAGTTTCCCGAAGGAAAACACACAGTGTTGGCACGGGTAGCCCCTGTCAGCCGTGGCCGGAAAATTAAGCGCAATTAAAAACTTTACACAGAAAGGCAGAGTGTAACCAAGCAAAATAATCTTCCAAAAATGGAAAGGCGCTACAGGACTATTTTTTTCCAATCCTATATTTTTCAAAACTCTGACCGGACTGCACCTGTATTCAGAAGCACACAAGTCAATCCTCCCAGGCCTGGAAACTAGATGAGGGTGTTGGTTACCAGGTGATTAAAAAAATCCACTAGCTTGTACACCTAAGGTCTGCGTTTCACCAGAACTGTGCAAGTTGAATTTGATCTGTGCAAACTTTACCTCCATTGAAAAAAAATATAATATACAAAAAAGTTGGGTGTCATTCCAACATTGAATACCACATGAAAGAAAACGGCCATTTCTAAGTGACTTCTGTTTAATCCACAAATAAACAGGCATTTGGTGCTTTGGAAAAGGAAGGGTGATGAGAACATCAAATCATACAACTTCTTTCCTTGAGACACTGTCTTAAGAAATGAACATGGGGCTCCCCCCTCTCCAGCATCATGTACACTGTCCCCTTGCTGCATATGGAGAGGGGCTGCTCACTAGAGGGACCCAGGCTGTGGGACCTCAGGGCAAGGACAAATGGCAGGAAAGGCTGAGAAGTCTTAATGACACCCACCAGTAGTCTGTGATGAAACCAAATAGAAAAATGAAAACAAGATGGATATTTTGAAACTGAAAATGGGCACCACTCGTTTAATTTTAGATTAACAGACACTTTGCATCTTTCATATTTAGCGTCTTTGGGATAAAAATATCCAAAACTTTTGATCTGGGAATTTTCTATCTCCTATATAGAGGCTTCCAGTCTTTTCTGGGGGAGAATGCATTTAGGGTTCCTGTGTGAGTTGTTTGCCTGGCATGACTGGCGAGTGTGTTGGTGGGAAGACAGGGCTTGATGCCTCCACTGCCCCTGGAGCAACATCTGGCCTAGGCATTGAGAATGCCAGCTTTGTGTTGACCACTTCTGGATGTTTCTAGAACAGCCACATGTCCCAGTGTCCTCTGAGACTTGCCTGGCAGCAGAACTACTTTCTGGGGCGTGGAGTATTGGCTGGTCCTGCATCAGCAAGTCAGATGCCATCATCCTAAATGCTTGTGTGAAGTGCCACTGTGGATGAGGCTCTGGTTTAGACACCTGTGAAAATATGTTTTAGGGTCCCAGTGATTCAGATTTGGACTGCCGGCTGTGTGGTGGGCACTAGGCCCCTGCCAGAACATTTAACCATGAGCCAGGCATCTCTATAGACCTCCGGAAGAGCTAGAAGTTTAGTGGGAGAGGCCTGTGTGTAGGCACAGGACTAGAGACTGTCACACCGTGTTCTGAGCCTGCCAAGAGGAGGGGTCAGCTGTTCTCATCCGTACCCAGCATCTCCTCTGTGGGACACTCCTTGGACTGGAGCACAGCAAGAGGCCAATAGGTAATTTGAGGATGTATGTTCGATGTTTGGCAACTGTGTTACTGAGTGGCTGGGTGACTCATGCCTGTAATCCCAGCACTTTAGGAGGCTGAGGCAGGAGGATCCCTTGAGCCCAGGAGTTCAAGACAAGTCTGAGCAACACAGTGAGACTTTGTCTCTATAAAATTTTTTTTTAAAAACTAGCCTAATGTGGTGGTACATGCCTGTAGTCCTAGTTATTTGGGAAGCTGAGGTGGAAGGATTGCCTGAGTCCAGGCGGTCGAGGCTGCGGTAGCCTTGAGCGTTCCACTGCATTCCAGTTTGGGCAACAGAGTGAGACCCTGACTCAAAACAAGAACATAAACTTTGGTTTAGATATTTTTTCCCCTTAGTAGTTTTGGTACTTAAAAATATACAAACCTTTTATAGAAGTTTAACGTAGATAAACATGTACACACTTTAAGTGTACTCTTTTTTTGTTGTTATTTTAGAGATAGGGTCTCACTCTGTTGCTCAGGCTAGAGTAGAGTGATCATAGCCCACAGCAGCCTCAAACTCACAGACTCAAGCGATCCTCCTGCCTTGGTCTCCTGAGTAGCTGGGACTACAGGTGCATACTATCACATCTGGCTAAATGTTTATTTTTTATAGAGGTTGGAGGGGGGGTCTTGCTGTGTTGCCTGGGCTGATCTCGAACTCCTGGTTTCAAGTGATCCTCCTGTCCCAGCCTTCAAAAGTGCTGGGATTACAGGCATGAGCCACCATGCCTGGCCGAGTTGTACTTGGTGCAATTTTTTTTTTTTTGAGTTGGAGCCTCACTCCATTGCCCAGACTGGAGTGCAGTGGCATCCTCCTGGCCACTGCAGCCTCAACCTGCTGGGCTTCGGCGATCATTCCGCCTCAGCCTTCCAAGTAGCCGGAACTACAGGCACGCACTACCACGCCCGGCTAATTTTTTGATGTATTGTAGAGATGAGGTCTCGCCAGGTTGCCCGGGTGGGTCTCGAACCCGTGGGCTCAGGCAATCCACTCACCTCAACCTCCCAAAGCGCTGGGATTATAGGCTGAGCCACCGAGCCCGGCTGTTGGTGCATTTTTATAAAGTGAACAAATATGTAACTAGCTCCCAAATTAAGGAGCACCTCATGGCCAGCCCTGCCAGTCACCGCTCCCTACTCCAGGGCCCACCACTGACTTCTAGTGCCATAGGTTCGTGCTGCCTGATTTTAACTGAGATAGCTGGAACCCTCTTGTGTACATGCGTCAGTGTCCAGCTAGCATTCTGTTGAATGATACACCACACTGTAATTATGTGTTTACCTTAGCTTTGCAAGGCGTTTATGGTGCTTCCTCCTTGGGGCTCTGGTGACAAGTGCTGTTCTGAGCACAGTTGCCTAGGCTTTGGCATGTGTCTGGTGCGTTTCTGTTGGGTGTGTGCCTGAGAGGAGTGGCTGGACCACAGGATGTGTGTGTTCAGCTCTGCAAGATGCTGCCAGAAGTTTTCCAAGCGGGTGCACCAGTGTACACTCTTGCCAGCCGGTAGGTCAGAGGTCTAGACACACCCTGTCCTCAGCTGTGTTTGAGATTATATGTCTTTTCCATTTGAGCCAGTCTGTTGAGTGTTTGGTAATATCTCATGAGTATTTTTCTTTAATGAGAGTTTATTTTTTTGAGCAGTTTTAGGTTTACAGAAGGACTGAGTGGAAAGTACGCAGAGTTCCCGTACTCCCCTCTCCCCCTCCCCCTCCACCCCATCCCCCTGTTACTAACATCTTGGCTGGTGTGGTGGTCCTGATGTTACAAATGTCAGCTGTATTGAGGTAGTTGACATGCAGCAAGATTCACCCTCTTTGGGGTGCGGTTCCTGGGCTTGTTGTGGGTGTGTAGCCATGTCACCACCAAGTGAATATGTGGCACATCTCCATCCCCTCAGAACGTCCCCATGTGCCCCTTTGTCATCAGCAACCCTCCTACTCCCAGCTGCTGGCAACACTGACCTGTTTCTGACCCCTACAGGTCACCTTTTCCAAATGTCCCGGAAACAGAATCACACAGTCGGTGGCATTCAGAGTCCCACTTCTCTCGCTCAGCAAAGTGCATTTGAGACGCATCCATGTTACTGTGGGTGTCAGTAGTGTGTCCCATTTTACTGCTTAATAATACTCTGTTGTATAGGTGGACCACAGTTTGTTATCTGTACTCCTGCTGAAGGACATTTGGGTAGTTTTTTCAGTTTTTGGATTATGGCTAAACCTGCTATAAGCATTGGCATACAAGTTTTTTTTCATGAACACACATTTTCATTTCTCTTAGGTAAATACCTAGGAGTGAAATTAATTTCTGAGTCACACGGTAAGAGTCTGTCTAACTTAAAAGAATGGTGTAGGCTGGTTTCTGTGACTCATGTCTGTAATCCCAGCACTTTGGGAGGCTGAGGTGGGAGGATTTCTTGAGCCCAGGAGTTTGAGGCTGCAGTGAGCTATGATTGCACCACTGCACTCCAGCCTGGGTAACAGAGCAAGACCTTGTCTCTTAACAACAACAAAAAGAACAGCATAAATGTCCTTTTTAATCACTTCATTCTAGAATTCTCATAGCTGTTGATCCCAGTGGCTACAGGGGTTATGTATAAGGTATGTGCGGAGAACTGGTGAGCTAGCTGTTGGCAGCACCAGCTGTTAATTAAGACTCATGAAGGCCGGGCACAGTGCTCATGACTGTAATCCCAGCACTTTGGGAGGCCAAGGTAGAAGGATTGCTTGAGCCCAGGAGTTTAAGGCAAGCCTTGGCAACATAGCAAGACCTCGTCTCTATAAAAAATAAAAAAATTAGCTGGCGTGGTGGCTTGTGTCTGTAATCCCAGCTACTTGGGAGGCTGAGGCGGAGATTCCATGAACTTGTGCACATACACCTGTGTCACCTCCAAGTCATTGTGAGGCTGTGGTATGCCGTGATCGTGCCACAGCCTGGGTAAGAGTGAGACTCCAACTCAAAAAAAAAAAACTCGTGGAGGGGGACCGGAAGGAGACAATGTCCCCATGTTATTTCAGAATCACATACAAGTTTTATGTCACCTGATAAAGCATGTGGCCACACACCAAGGAGACAGGCCCCTTCAGTGCTAGAAGTGTCATCATTGGCAGGAGAATGGGATGGAGCTGGGGCCCGGGTTCACGTGGGAGGGGATGCAGAGAGGGCTCTCTGCTGGGTGTTTGAGGAAAGATACCTGGAAAGCATCCGCTCCTGTGAATGTCTCTGTCTCTCGCCCCTCCAGTGCGGTATCATCCTGGGCGCCCTGCTCTTGATGTTCTGCTCCTGGATGACGCACCAGTCATGCATGTTCCTGGTGAAGTCCGCCAGCCTGAGCAAACGGAGGACCTATGCCAGTCTGGGTGAGGTGCTTTTTGACAAAGAGGGCACTCTGGGGGGGGGGGGGGGGGGG